AGAATGTTTACTATTCATTGGTGTTTGTTTATGCAAATAATTATTTGGCTAGCGTGGCTCTTTGAAGAAAGAAACACTTTGTTAAAGTACCTGTGCTGCATTCAAGCAAATACCATTTTAAACCTGAAGAACATTCTGCAGGAAAAAAACACCCCAAAAAAAACTCCCAAAGAACCCCCCAAACTCCAGGATGATTAAATTTAATGCTGCTATTTTTAAGGTAAAACTGAAGCAATTAAAAAATTCAGACCAAAAGAAAACAGATCTATCCTTAGGCTTTCTGGCTTACGTAGCCTAAGAAAGGAACGACAACAAAGTCTAGATTCAGTGTTAAAAATGTCCTTTGCAGATGCACAGAGACATATGGGGAGCTTTGTCAGAAGTAGCAAAGCCTTCAGAGCTGGTGGATGAGGTGAGTGGTCTCACAACTCATCAGCTGCAAGGAGCAATCCTCTGCTGAACTCATTATTCAGGTTGTGTAACTTACTATTTGCTCTTTTTGCTGGTGTGGTCAGGAGTCACTCAGAGCCAAAGAGCCTGACAAACATCTGCTTTTTCCAGGTCTATGCTGGAACAGATTGTCACCCTGAAGCCCCAACATCTGCTCCGTGCAGAGGAACATTGTGGTACTTGCTTGGTGCCAGAGCCTCTTAAAGGCACATTTCCCTGTGAAGCAGCAGAGTCTCGGTGTGATAGCAGAAGGGTCAGGTTTTGGAGACAGAAGATTGACTTCCAGGGATTTAACAGGGATTTACCTCTCAGCTTTTCCTGTGCTTCCTAAAAAAGTACACAAGTAGTAAGGTAGAATTTACTTGGCGTTTTTTGCCGATTTGTTTTGATGATTTGTTTTGATTTGGTTTCGGTCTTCTGTGTTTTTCAATAGAGCAGCCCAGAAAGAGATAATGCCATCTGCTGGAAAATGTGTCTTTCATCACAGAATCATAAAACAACTTAGGTTGGAAGGGGACTTTGGAGGGCATCTGGTGCACCGTCTTTCTCTGAGCAGGGAAAGCTTACAACTTGTATCTGTTTGAGAAGGGAAATGAAGTTCTCTAGGGAAGAAAAGCCTTAAATATGAGAGCTGCACATGCAACAGTTTTGGGGTTTTTTTCACTGTATTTTGCCTGATAATCAGAGCCCAGAGTGACTGGGCTGCTAAACAAAACCCTCTGCTAAGCTAATTACAAAGATCTTCTGTTGCAACTCACTTTGCTAATCCTCAAACAAATTCAAAGTGCCTATTTTGGCCTACTATGGGCAAGGCAGAAAAGTAAGTCCAAATGTAATGGAAGCTTTGTTACAAATTTGAGAACTAATGACAGTCAAGCAGATATGGGACATGTTACATATTTTACTTTTATTAAAAGATAATTCTATTTTACATTGTGTGCTAAAACTTTGGGGACAGGGGAGGAAGGTGATGTATCCAAATAGCAGTGCAGATTGTAAGGCTACTAAAAATGATTTTAATATTGCCCTGCAGGAAAAAAATATGGTTTTACCCTCCTTTAATTCAAAACGTCCACGTGAAATACACTACAGTCTAAATATATTGGATTATTGGACTGTAACAGGAGGATGTAAGCACATAACTGCCTCCTTTAATTTCGTTTTAACATGAAAAGCATGAACGGGCTGAGGCGCTCGGTCATGCGGGAGGTTGAACCGCTCTGCCGGGAGCCAAGGCTCCACAGTGGCGACACGGGGGGTGCGACTGGCCCGGAGCGGGCCCGGGGCGCGCAGGGCCCCCCCAGGGGAGTTGCCAGGTGCTGCTCCCGGGTCTCGCCTCCGGCTCCCGGTTCCGGGGCCGGGCGCGCCCGTTACTCCCGCCCGCCGTTCCCGCCCGCCCTTTCCCTCGCGGCGGGCGGGGCGCCGGGGCCGGGCGGGCACCGGGGGCGGGCTGGGGACGGACGGGACGGGACGGGACGGGACAGTGCCTCTTCCCCGCAGCGCCGGGACAGCGACGCCGAGGCTCCCGGCTTGCGGCCGCCCCGCCATGGCTCTCAGCTCCGAGCGGCTCTTCGACTCGCTGGGACATTTCGGCAGGTACTGCGGTGCCCCGCGCTCGGCTGTCGCACCCGGGCATCCCCGTGCGGGCACTGATGGCTGCCCGCGCTGGCCGGGTGTCACAGCTGTCCCGGGGAGACGGCACCGTGCGCCCGTGTGCATCGCGCGGGCTGCGGGGCGCTCACCCCGACACGCACCGGCACTCACGGGGACTGTCACACGCACGCAGAAAATGACACGCGGCACCGCGCTGTGTGAACTCACGCGAAACTGCCGGGCACTGCTGCTTGTGTTTGCGGCACTCGACACTCCCCCACACACACGCACTTTTCCACACAGGCGCAGCGCTCCACGCGTGTGCTGGCTCGGACCGCGCAGCACATCCCTGCGTGTGCCGCGCTCGCACCGGCACCACAGCGCCGATCCCACATGGCCTCAGTCAGGGACCTGCCGGCACCACGTGCGGGCAGCCGCCCCGTCACGGCCGTGCACTCCCAGACACTTAAAACTCACTCTTTTCTTGCGCGTGTGAACACACACACACATACACAGAGACACAAGCACACGCACACAGAGACACAAGCACACACACACAGCCTCAGGGGCTGGAACAGCCTGCACACTTCAGGGCTGACAGAGGGACAGAAGGGCACAAGCAGCATGCAGGGGAGCGCTGTGTGACACTCGGGCTGTTCTGCTCAGGGACGCAGGGTTGTTAAGTGCAAGAGATGATGTGTTTTTTATTGAGGCTGGGTTTGTTGTCTGTGTTACAGGCAGAGCATGTGCGTGTATCCTTATCAGCAAGGCTTTACCTGTACGGTAAATGATGTGTGCCTGGTGGCGAGTTTTCTTTGATGTGCCTTGTGCTTGTGGGGAGTGTGTGTGTACAGAGGCCTGGGTTTGTTGGATGGATGCACAGACGTGGCGTGTGGGTGTGTTTATGCTTTTGTAGCTTTGGATGCAGGGCTGGTATCTGAGACTGCTTATAGCAGGTAATGGAGAAGAAATGCTAGGCAAGGAAATTAAGTTTTAGAGGATATGAATATTAAGGCTAATGGGTGCACATCCTCACAGTGAGCTCTCTCTTGCACTTCCATGATGTGCTGATCATCATGGGTTTTGCAGGCACACGCTCCTCAGAGCAGATGGCTGGAATAGACCCATGTGCCACAATTTGGCTATGCGTTCAAGCTGTTAAATTGCAGTGTTGTGCTTTCTATCTCGGTGACCAGCGAGCCAGCCTAACCCACAATGTTGGTCTTCTCTCAGGGGCAGGCAGGAGCAGCATTTTGGACAAAGCCTGGGAGCTCCTTGTAATGGTTGAAGTGCCTGAACTGCAGCAGGAGAGGCTCTTAATATCATATGCAAGCAGTAGTGGTGGGTATCAATAGCCTCTTCAGATGGTTAGGATGGAAAGAAGTTTTCTGGCTTAAGTGGTACCTGTGCTTAAATTAGATATTTGACTAGGCTGTGACTTACAGGCATGTGTATCTGAACAAATCTCAGTTGTTATCAATTCTGGGTCAGCCACAAAAATACGTTGTTCTGTGTGAACTAGGAGAGAAGTCCTAGCAATCAGTTGATTTTGCTGCTGCTGTTTTTTTTCTATTTTGTGCCCTTTGTGGAAATCAAGCACTTGACAATGAATACCGAAATAACCCCAAAATAGTTACTTTTAATTACTGGAGTAGTTTTCCTTCTTGAGAACATTTATGAATACTTTAAAGTTTTCAAAACTACTTGCAGTTAAAAGGAAACCAATTCTACAGAACCTGACATCTAGGGACCAGATTATTTGAGATACAGTTCAATAAGAGCTGCTTTAAGTTTAGGAGCTTTTAGATGAGATGCAAGCTACCAAAATTTGCATAGTCCTGTTAGACTTATGGCTGTTTGAGATTTCAAAGGTCACACTAGTGGTATAGTATAACAGTAAGTATAATAGAAGCTTATGGTGGGTGGAGCTATTTAAAAATATTGTAAAATCTTTTTAAGTCCCTTGATAGTGATAGATAAATTATCCTATTTCATGTGAAAAGTTGTTCATAACTGTAACCATCGAGTTAGTTCTGTTCAGTTTGCAGCAGTCTGGCACTGAGAGATAACCAGTGGTTCATTTCTTCAGTTCAGGCAATTCCCATAAGGCCCATATAACCTATGCACTATATATAGATTCTATAAATTTGACACAGTCAGCTTCTGAGCAATCCAAGCACGACTGTTAGTATTTTGAGACTGTTTTGATTTTTCTTAAAGCCTGACAGATGCAGTAGAGAATGAGCAGCTGTTCATACATACATACATACAGAGATAGTGTGCATGCATATTATACATAATACAGCTATAGCTGTATATATAGCTGATAATATAGCTGTATTATATATATTATAGCTATATATAAGTTACTGATATACAGATAATATTAATAATATTAATTGATTAAGGTTGTGAATTTTACAGAATTGACATTCACATGGATGCTGACAATATTTTTGCTTTCCGTTTGAGCTCTCTTCCACAAGCCTCAGTGATGCCATTGTTCTTAATAGGGTCTTGAGACATGCATGAACAACCATAGACATGTCATGGCTCCTGTAGCCTATGCCATTAAAGGAAGCCTTTATGCTTCTGTTTGAATTTGGGCATGGGTACCATCTGTGGCCTATAAATTCAAGCAGGTTGTTTTAAACATTTAAACATTGTTCTTGAGTCTGTGGAGCATGAGATCACTGGTCACTATTGCAGAGATTGGGTGACAGACAAATAGTGCTGTCTGACTCAGATGGCCTCATCACTAAAGGGTTGCCAAGACTTAAAGCTCCCATTGAACCTGCAGCAAACTGCACCCTTCTCCATGCAGCTGATCCTGCCAGACTGCACCTATGGGCTCTCCCTCTCAACCCCCTGCCTCAGCCCCTCTCTGCCCGCCCACTCCAAGTCCAAAAACCCTCTCAGGGGCCCATCAGGTAAAGTCAGGTGCAGTCAGACACTGGCTGTCCCTGGCAGGTCCTGTGCTGGGAAAGGGGAGACATGACCAGTGGGCATAAGGTTGGTAGCAAAGTGTGGGCATAGTGGGTAGGTGAGCCTTGGGAGATGGTTCACACTGCCTGCATGTCTAATTCCCAGGTAAACTAAAGGACTTTTGATAACTTCAGTGTCTTTAATCTGCCAGCAGGACACAAAATGTACATATGTGGTTGCTGGTGAGAAACAGGCTATGTATTCTGTCGCTTTCATCTGCACCATGGCAGTGTGCTGAGTGGAGACATGATCTAATCAGGAATGACTGTCTAAAGAGAGATCTGGGGAGGTGCCCCTTCTGGTAAGTGTGGATGAGCGTAAGGATTTGATTTCCCAGCTGGAACGTCTGGTAGCTCTGAGATGCAGCTTACATGGTGCGCAGCGTTTTCCTTGTGATTAACAGTTTTCAAATCTTGGCTTATACGTGAGCTAAAAGCAGGTGGTGAAAATTGTCGGGGAGAGAGAGGAAGATTGGGTGTCACTGGCACTATTTCCAGATTTTGTAACAAAGTATTTCCAGAATATTTTTTTAAAAGATTGCCTCTTCTTTTGAAATATTCTGTTTTTTACAAAGTTGAGTATGTTACCTAGATTTTCAAATGTTGGTTTTATAAAGAATACATTTTACTAGCAGCTAGACTATCTAATAAATTTAAAATTACTGCTGTTTATCTTTACTGAGATATTTATGTATTTATTCAGGTTTTGACATCTTTGCACTGTTGTCTTTTATGAAATTTTGCTGGAGTTGTGGGGTTGCTACTGTTTGGACTTTAGAAGCAAGCAAACTGAAGATTAGCAATGGCTATTGTGAGGAGGAGGGAAGCAGGACAGGCTGCCTGTTTGGATAGAACAGTCACCTGTTCCAGCCAAACAAGGGATTTGGTAGACATTAATACACATGCAAACAGTTTCAATGTCTCTTTATTACCCTGGAACATTTTTTGTATTTATAAAGATATGAGAGAGTCTGCTTAGCTAAAAAACTTGCTTGACTTTTGTAGAAATTCTTTGTATTGGACTTCTGCTGACTGCTGCTCAGTGCCATGGTAGCAATATTTGAGTGTCTGGTGCTAACACTGTTTTTCTTCTCCCTACTTTGCAGAGCTTTGGTGTGCTTCTAAAGCTCTACACCGAACATTGTCTTCTTTTCACATCTTGGAAATTTTCCAGGCTCCTCTTTTCATGCTGTTGCCCTTATCCTCTCTCTTGTTTCACAGCTCAAAGCTCTTGTGATCAGATTACATCTGCAAATTGTGCTGTGTACATTTTGCTTCCAGAAATTCTTGGTTTGTGTCAATTAAGAAGGAGCCCCAAGTATCTCAAAGATCGTGCTCACCTCTTCTTTTCACAAAAAGAAAAGAAGAACACCTTCAAGCAATGATTTTTGACACCCGTGTGTTTTACAGATACCTTGAAAGGTTCTTTCCCAGCAAAAATATATTTTTCAAGTGGAGAAGTGTGCTTGTTAGATATGGAAAGAAATTGTTTTTTCTTTTTCAAGTTTTTCAGATTTCAAGTTAGTATGGAGAAGCAGGCCACTGTATTCATATTCAGCATTTAAACAGTCAAGTTTTAATTTAAAAAGTGGAAGCATTACAAGATTTTTCTCAAATACTAATACATTTAATACTTAGTACATTCTACACAAAATATTTTTAAATGATATAATGTGAATTTCTGCTTAACCTTTGAGTAGTTTGCTGAAGGTGAACAAAGTGTCATGATTTGGAGATTGTTTTAAAAAAAATCGTTTTTTCCACCATGTGCTACCTTATGCAGTGGAGAAGTTTATTGCAATATATCTGTCATTCAGTTTTCAAAATGTACCAGTGGACAGCTGTCAGTCAGAAGAATCTCATATCTAAGTCCTCCTTTGGCTCCTAGTCAGGGGTGGTGTTTGACAGAAATGTTTGATAAGCATTCTTACAACTATGCTATATTATAACATCTGAGTCAGCCTGTGCTTATTTCAGATGTTCATAGGATGAAACAGGGAGACTTGGCAGCATCTCTTTTTTCCCCTCTTTTTTTTTTATTGTGTCTGTGTAGGAGGGATTTTGCAAATAGTACTTAACCTTGTTGGTTGAAAGGCATTGTAATAGCTTTGGAGCACCGAGACAGCCCATGTGTTTTCAGAGAGCAAACTCTAGCAGCCTAAACAAAGGCCTTATTATCTATGCCTGACTAGGCAAAAGTGGAAATATTCCCAAGACTCAGAACCAAAGCTGGATACTGGCAAGTGCTCCAGGATAATGGTGGCAATGTACCAGCAGCATGGTCTGCAGAAGGTTCTAACAGCATTTGCTGGGATCCAGGTCATACTGGGGGCAGTCTGAAGCAAGATCTGCACAGACAAAAGTGTTCTGCCACAGAACATGCTGGCATCCTCACCCTGGAGGTGCCTGCCTGTTTCTGACTTGGAAAAGTAGATTATAGTAAGAGAAGCAGATGAAAAAGTAGATTGCCATAATAGAAAGATGACTAAATAAAAAGTGGGAGGAAATTGCACCTGTACTATCTGTTTCTTCTCTAAGGCTACAACCTGCAGTGCGAGCAACACTGAAACTTAAAGCTGATAAATGAATTATGATTTGTAAACCAGACAGCTGAGATTCACCTCTGAAATGTTGCCAACACCCCAGGGTGGCTTCCAAACCAAGTTGTAGCAGCGACACAGTTATGGCAGCATAAGGCAGTTATCACACACACAGTCAAGGAGCTGATGATCAATTCTTTCATCCTAAAATATTATGGTGTGAATGAATATGAAATATGTAGGGCACTGGACAGTGTGTTCCCTGTAATACAATGCCTAGGACAGGGATACCATTCTTATAAAAGCTATATCAGTAATTTTCTTACAATAGTAATGATTTTCAGCAATGCTAAGGTATCTCTAAGTTGGAAGGAAATTTTTATTAAAGGCCTTACTCATGGAAAGTTTGCATTTATTGCAGGAAGTAAAATCATGCAAGCTGAAAACAGCTTTAAATTTAGGGACTTTTTGGAAGGCCCCAGGAGCCTTTATCACATTCTGTGACAATTTGTGTCCACCATTTTGCTATACACAAGGATGGTACTGAGATACATACCCTGCTGATGTTTTATATTTAAGATAATTTGAGGCACAAAACTCCAGCAGCTGAACAAGAACTTGAGATCCTCAACTTTTCAGAAATAGGGAAAAAATAGCAAGCCAGAGAAGATATCAGCTGAGGTAGCTATATATTTTTTAATGAAATATTCAAATAGACTAAATTGCCTTAATCATATTCAAGGCTGCAAAAATAATGCTGTGGATAAAATCACTGCTTATATCAAGGAAGATTTATAGGATGGAGCAAGTCAAAATTCCATGACATTTCTCTCAAGTGTTTATAGAAATGATTCAAACATGCTTTGATCTGTGGAGCTAATATTCCATATTATTTCTAACTGAAAACTCAGAAGATACTTGTAGGTACAGGAGCAGCTACAAATATTCCCTAGGAAAGTGATGTCCAGTGTTCTTAAATTAATTACTCAGACTCCTCACTTGTTTTACATTTTTCTGTGAAAACTTCCAAAAACCTGTAAGAATTAGTAATTTTACAATAATTTTCCAGGAAGGAATTAAATTTCAAGTATAAAAATTTAAAACCTTGGGTAGTATGCTTAACAGTATGTGGCAGGATGTGAAGAGAATTTAAGCAGAATTTTTACTGAAAATGAGCTGTCTGTTTTCAAATCTTCTTGGGCATGACTATAAATGGGAAACATCAACAAAACAAGAGTTCTTAAAAGGCATAATATAACTGTGAGAACTGTAAGGCTTAATTACTTTGTGAATTAATCTTAAAAAAATAGATTGCTGATTGCTTCAGAATAGACAGTTTTCACCACTCTGAAGTAGATATTCAGTTCATGTGTTTGTCCTGTCAGCTGCAACAGATTCAAGGTTTTGCAGAATAAATATGCAAATAGAATAACAGAGGAGTAAGAATGTAATTAGTATAACAACCAGTTAGTTTTCTTTCAGGATTATAGAAAGGAAAAAAAAATAAAATAAATATAAACTAGTTTGGGCACAGTTAGTCCATTGTGTCAGCAATGCAACCAGCAGAAAGTGTCCTATTTCTTAAACGGGAAAGAAAGAATGAAATATAACTGTCTATACATGAAGTACTGCCTATGTCTATAATTAGATGGAATCTCAATAAAAACACTGAAATTCTATTAGACACTTTACAGATTATGATGTGAAATGATTTGCTTACGTAAGCTGATGGAAATGGTACAGTGTGGAAGGGAATGAAATACCTAATTTGGATTTGTCCACAAAAATGAGGCTAACCAAAAGAAAACAGTGTTACCAGAGAAACTGGAATTGAGCTTTCCCTGTGACAAGTAATGCTACTGATACATCATGCACAGTACATACTAATTTTCTAAATGGTAGATGTTTATACAATGTCTATGCCATTCCTGGAATAGAAACTTCCAAGTATAGAGCCCGAAGTGTTACCACTGTTTAAGTGTAACCACTCTGCTGTGTGTAACACTAGTCCAAATTATTCCAAAACAAAGCTAAATTGCTTAAAAACTGCGTGGTCATGTTCTTTCTTAATTAAATTACCTGGCATATGTCCTTAACCCATGTATAGCAGAAAGGGCAAGTGGGTAACGAGAATAAAAAAATACTGACTCCATTGTTGGAATCGCTGTTGCTCCCAGTGGTGTGCTCCCCCTTAATCAGAGGTTGCTTTCCCAGGAAAGTCGAGTGGAATGTTTATGTGTACCTTGGTTGCTTGAGTGCAAATCCAGAGCCTCTGTGTCTTTCCCAGATTCACTGCCATTTGAATGAGAAGGTTGGGCACTAGGCTGGAGTGGCTGAGCCATGATCACACCATCTTCCTGGCTGGCTCTCCCCTGGGGCAGCCACCCTTGGCAGGGGGGCACAAGAAGCTCTGGGGCACCTTTAGCAGCGGCTCCCTTTCAGCTGTGCGTGTCTGTCCACAGGTGAAAGCTGTGCTACTCAACTGTTGAAACCCAGCAATATTTATTATTTTGGCACAGGTGATGACAGGAACCTTATGTGCCTGACCTAAATAGTCAAAATGAAGAACTGTAGAACTGTTCTATTAAGTTTCAAAATACATATATATATTTAAGTATGGCCCTTAATTCTGTAGCACTGTTTCTTTATTTTCATGCTGATGTGACTTCCTTCATCTGTCATACCATCTGCATAGTAAGCAGCCAATGTATTTTTCTTCTTGACTCTGGTGAACAAATGCTGAACTTGTCTTAATCAAAGGC